GTCACCTGGGTTTTGCTGGAAGATATGACCTTGCGTTTACAGAGGCGCTTTGTCAGATCTGTTTTGCTGCAGTTCTGATCTGCTGGCTTACAAACAGATTTTGTGCTAGAAATTAAAGGATTTTTTTTTAGTGGAATACTGTAGATACCTTTTTCCCTGCAAAATAGTTACAAAAACAGTTATAACTACTGAGGACACCACGGCACAATAAAGAAAAACAGATGGCAGATCACTAGTGAAAGGCACAAGTCATGATGCTTTTAAATAAATTTAAACACATTATTATATTTTTCTCTTGTAAATCCTATCTCTCCACTCCAGAAGAAAGCAAACAAAAGTTTGAATTAATTCAGCCAACCCATCCAAAACTAGAAAAATTAATATCAATGATATCCAAAACACATGTTGAATGTTACTGAATTCAGCAGTTTTACTTGCCTTAGATTATTGATTTTACCTTCTGATGAGAGCTCAGAGGCAATCTCTTAGCAATAAACAAAGAGGCATCACCCTGACCATACCCCCAGATGCCATCTACTGAACACAAAAAGCTCTTTGTCAACAAAATAACACTTTTCTTCCTCAGTCATATAAAAGACAAATAGACAGTAGCTATTAAGGGAGCAGGACCCTATTAGTGCAGGAATATCATACTGTTAATGAAATGGTTATATTATTGTGTGAGAAGTGGAAGTCTGGCACAATAAAAATTTGCTGCTTAAAATGCTCATGGCTAGGGGAAATTTAAAAAAAAAAAAAAAAAAAAAAAAAAAAAAAAAAAAAAAAAGGTGGGACAAGATACAGGTCAAACATCCAAGTCTCACAAAAAGGCAGCACATTAGACAAGCCTGATTTTCCCATTTTTAAAATGGTCTTTGAAAGAAACAGTGTCAAGACTGGTTTGATTAGGTTCTGGCAGGCAATTTTTAAATTTAGAGCTAATTTTTATGAGATAAGATTTAAAAATTGCACACAGGGCACAACGGATGTCTCCGTTTGGAACAGACAGCTGGCTGAAGACAGGGCCAGGTTCTGCACACTTGGGAACACACTGTGCTGCAAATATATTAGCCTTCAGCAGACGCAGAATATAAAAAGAAAATAAGGTTAAAAAGACCCAAACACAATGGGAGGACTAGTCCAGCAGATCACAGAATATCTCTAGCAAAAAGCTGGGCCACATTTTCTCCTGTGTGAAGTTACAGGAGGGGAGTCATTAACCCCCAGTTCTGAAGCTACTCTAACCAAAGCAGTGCAACCTTTGGGCTGCTCCAACATGCATCTCGCTGATCCTTCAGTGACAATACAGAAGGTATTAGCTAGGCAGTCTGAACCAGAGGAACTCTTTTAAGCAAATACACATTTATTTTTCTAGTATACAATAACACCCACTTAATTTTAACCAAACGGGGAACAGGCTTCAATGACAAGTAAGAAAAGAAGGGGGAAACTGTGCTTTAGAACAGCAACATGATTTCTGAAGCTCTCAGTCAATGGATTAGTTCAAAGCAGTTTCAGTATTCAAAAAAATAGAGGGAATTTGGGGGTGGGGGGGAAAGATGTAACTACATTGGTTCAATTCTATGAAATGATTACGTGAAAATACTACACACACATCAGTGCAAACAAGGAGATCAAATGTTGTCCACCTTGTTTAGAATACAAATAACCACAAGTTATCACAGAATGACATCTGCCCTTCTCAGAACATCTCAGCAGATACCAACACCTGGAAGGAAAGGGAGGAACATCCCAAACATACAGCCCTTTAGTGCTAATCTATTCGAGGACATTTCCCTTATCGGTAGAAGAAACTTTTCATTAGAACATATCCAAAAGATGAACAAGAACACGTGTTCATCCTGGGGAGGTGTGGTGTGCAACAGGGACAACCAACACAAGACAGTCAAAAACATTCCCTGTGATCACCTTCCTATGCAGAACTTTAGAACTAGATGAACTCCTGACGTCCCACCTAATCTGAACCTTCCTATAACCACAAAATAAAATAGTCTGGTAACAAGGTTTTCCAGTTAAAAGACACCAATTCAAAGGAATTAATCTATACGTTTTCTGACTTCCAGTTAAATATCAAAGTTGCATTGGCCTTAATACTTTGCTCTGCAGAGTATAAAAGTTGTCAATGCACAGTGTATTTGGGTTCTTAGATTGTAGGAAGATACCAAATACAACAGTAACTCTCCTTCTCTTGAACTGTCACGTATAAGAGGAACCAGGCAGGCAGCTCTTGCGTTTTCTCCACGCAGTATTCTTTGTACATAACTGCACTGCTAGGTAGCAGACCAAAGGCTCAAACTCCACATAACAGCAACTAGAAGGGAAATCCAGAGACCCTTCTTCACTTGACAGGACTAACAGTTCAAAATTATGCAGCTAAGATCATACATACAAGGGTATTCTATCACGATTTTTGGAGAAGCCCTTGCCAGACATCAGAAGTAGTCGTTACTTTCTGTTAATACCACTGCAACAGCTCCTATGCTCCATGTACACCACTGGGACATCAGCACAGTCCAACACTGTCATAAACCTATCAAACCAGAAGTGGTACTCAAAATTACTGAGCTTTACAAATGCCACTTTCTACTCTTGATTTGTGTCAGTACTGCACAAACTTGACCAGGAGAGCCACAGTAGTGCTCTGCTGTACACAGATCAGCTCTGTAGTCTAACCCATCATATTTGGAAATGCAAATAAAATGTATTGTATTATTACTGAATATTAACGATGCCTCCTATCAACTGTTGTTTACCCAGTTGCTTTTTTCAAGCAGAGCTGGCTGTGCCTGTGGTGTTATGCAACCCTCAGCAAATCCACATGCCTACTGTCTTTCTGAGATCTCAAGGTAACAGCCAGAATTCAGGCATCTTTCCCGCTCAAAGCCTATCTTTGAAATACATCAGGGCATTTTACTCAAAGCAATGAATTGTAACTCCAATTGTCTCTACATTTTTTTTTTTGTTAAACTCCAATACCTCCAACTATTAACTAGAGAATGATATTATAATAATATTAACTAGAAAGCTGCATGCTGTTAATGACTTACTATGCAGTTTATTTAGTATGGGACATCATTAGATGAAGAAAAACCAATAAACTGTTTGTGTAGGGTGGTGTCAACTGCTTCTGAGCAAACGAAGCAGACTGAAGGCCAAGATACCGAAACAAACTGACGATCTGTAAGAGTTCTACATAGGCACTGAAGACTGAGCAACAGTATTACTGTCACCAGTTTCTATTATACAACAAATCACTGAAAAGACAAATAACTCATCAGTTACAAAACTGGTTTGGATTTGTAAGACCATAATAAAGATGGTCTTTATGTAAACTCTTACATTCTCAGCATGTTTCCCGTTCTCATAGTCATCCCTTTAAGCATCTCTAAAGGCACGCATCTTCACAGGCTAAAGCACAGCAAAGAATTTAACAAATAATCTGAATTTCAATCCAGGTCCTCTCATTACTTCTAAGACCACCTGCTTCATTTTCCCTATCCCTTTTACAATACTTGAGAACACAAGCTCTCAAGACCATATACACTCAGTATAATCTCATTAATTAGTGTATGAAATACTGTCCTCTTAAAGAAACAAGAAGTCGCAAAACATTCATTGGTTTCATACAGGGTGTACTTAATAACTACCTAAAAGCACCTTCAGCAAAGTACCAGTCCCTCCTCCTTTCCCCAAATCCTTCCTACTTTCCAACATTTCTGTACACCAACGTTTTTCTTTTGTACTACTACAACATCCCACTTAAATCACTCCCACGTATTTGCCTGGTTCCAACCTTCCTGTATGGAAGAAACACTTTCTTCAAAACCCATTGTCACATCAAGCACAGGTACAAATACATGCTCTAAAGGCATCCAAACCCACACATTCTTCTCTTCTCCTATCAGAAATAAATCAGACACAGATTTCATCATCCTTTGATTCAAATATTTCTGCTACCCCACTCCTCTGATACCCCACTCAATCTGCTACTCACTCTGATTATTTTCTCAGCATCCTTCCTCAGGTTCTTGGCCCTCTGACATTCTTTCAGAACCTAAACATCATCGACATAGGAAGCAGCAAACATGGTGGGATCTCTGTTAAACCAACAATTACACACAGGAGTGAATTGTCAGAGTGTCTCTTGGAAGAAACATGCAGTGTGATATCTATTTTAGCCCATTTTTCATCTTTATGAGCTGTGAAACAAACAAGCCAGTAATATCAGTGAGGCTTGCAGAAAACATAAAACATGTATCCTTGCAAAATTTTGTTTCCTTAGTACCATATATAAACATCTGTCCAAGCATCTTGACTTTTTATTATCCCTTTCTTCTACTACGCTAATCTTTCTCTGTCAAAACTAGTGCAAGTTTTATTTTCCCATCAGTTTCTTTTAGAAGGACAAAAACCTGTAAATGCTAGGTTTATGGCTCACCTTGTTACACTAAGCTTTTACTCTCTATTAAGGGCAAACATATTTCCGGAAAGCTAGTCAGTGTACTCACTGGGGGAAAAACAATCATGTTTGATACATGAATTCCTAGCACTGATACAGTCTAATCTAAACTCTATAGAAGACAACGTAAGACAACATAACCCAAACCTCAAGCCACCTTCAAAGGGAAAAGTAAATGATAGCTACGTTATGACAAACAGGATTTATTCTCAAAAGCACATGTATGAGTGTAACACAAGAGTGCTGTCAGAGCTCAGACAGAGCGATTCATTTCCAGGTCAAGAACTCTTGGGGTCAGCCCAAATCAGGGAGTATTGTCAAGCTGATATTAAGACCATCACCACGAGCTCTGTGATTCAGACACTGGTATGGGTAAATCTACGGACCATGGGAATGGAGGTAGAGGAAGAAAAAAACGGATTTTTTTTTTTTAAACAAGTGATGTAACAAATTATTAGTGAGACAGAAGCTTTAACCATTAAAATATAGGAAGCTAACTAATGTAAGTTCTCGTACTAACCTGCACAACATGTCTGATGCAAGGTAATGCCAATGAATGGAAAAAGTAACTTTGTGAATACATCATTTAGAAGGAATTTCTCCCTTTGAGAAAACGCAAGAGAAATAACGCCGGAGGGGACAGGAAGCCGGGCAACACTTCAGATCAAAATAGCCAAACTCAGCGTCCTTCCCTGCCACAGACACTACAGGCACGGCCGCCTTCTTTCCCTCGCACGCTCTAACACAAGCACAGCAAGTAGCTCCTGTCTAGAGGGAGGCACCGTCTAACCGCAGCCTTCTTCAAGTGGTTCCTCCACCAAAAACATCTCACGGATGTTTTTTCTTTCATTTCTCGTTACTTTCAAAGCCTTAACACGCACGCAGAAACAACTGCTGCAAAACTCTCAGGTACGGGGAAATAGAGGAGACAGACGCACATCGGCTGAAAGAGCCTTAGAAGATTTCGCAACGTGAAGGAGGAAGAGAGGCCAGTAAATCTCTGAAGTGCTGCTCCACAGAAAAGGCACCGTCATTCCTCCGTGAAAAGAAGTTTGGGGAGCCCTTCCCAAAGGGGCCGCAGGTAAGGGAACGTGCTTTTCTGTGTCAACGGGGTTTCAAGAAAAGACCAAAAACCGAGAACCCAGGAAACCCGCGAAAAGCCCTAAGCACCCCAAACCCAATACGTCTTAAAAATAAAATTTAAAAAACTGACGACAACGATCCCAGTGAAGCCGGCGGGTCTCCCCAGCCCCGACACCCTCCGTCCCGCGGGGGGAAGCACGCCTCGCCCTCAGCCCTCGGGCCCGGCTCCCCCCCAGCGCTCCGGCCCGCAGCCCCGCTTCCTCGGGCGC